AACGTGGCGCGTATAAATTGATTCTACTAATACATTAAGAGTCTGTTTGACATTCCTATTGAAAGGCTAGAGACACATTTATTGAAAAATCACGTGTTTGGCAAATCAGTAAAACGCTTTTAAATAGAGGTAGAAACAGTTTTTGTTGTTGTTGGGAAGAAGCTAAAAAATTTTGCTTCTTAAAAGAAAAACAAAAGCAGAAACAAAAAATATATTTTTCTCAAGACTAAAATATCCCTTTCATATATACATATTTACCAATATATCTCTTATTAATTAATTAACATATCTCATAAGTTTGGTTAAATTTCATTAAATAAATTTATTTTATATTTTTATAGAATAAATTTTATATTTTATTTTATGTTTATATATTATTATTTTATATTTTACATATAATTTAATAGAATTATAAAGAATTAGAAAAAAAACGATAATAACAATAATTTTGCAAGGTTAGAAAAAGAGAAGAAAATAACAATTAAAGATTTCAACCCTCCCAAAAAAGGTATTCTTGATTGAAAATTTAAATATGTACATTTTAATTTTAAAAATATAAAGTTTGATTAAATTTTTTATAATAGATATTTAAAATAGTTTCTATCTATAAAACAATTTTAATATTAAAAGTACATCAATAGTTGTCATTTTCCGTATTTGACTCTCAAAAGCACTTTTTAATTTAAAAAAGATCAGTCAAACACAAATTACTTATGAAAAATATTTTTCAAATGAATAGCCAAAAACAAATCGTTTTTTTCAAAAACACTTTTCTGAAAATTCGTTTAAAAAATGATTTAATTTTTTTAAATTTATAACAGCAAAGCCAAACATGCTCTAAGTAAGAGATAAGTAATTTACGAGCAATTGAAATGACGAGATATACATATATTAATATTCATAAGTAACTTACTAGATATTAAACATATATCGAAACAATGTAAATATATAACATCGATAAATTAAAACTAGGATATCATGGACAAAAATCTTCTTCTTAAATTATTTTTTTCAAAAGTAACACAACACAAACAAATGTGCTCGGATTATTTTAATAAACATAGATTTGATTTATGTAATGAAATTGTCATAGTAAATTTATTACATATAAGTAAAATTTCCATCTCAAACTAATTAGAATTTGAAAAAAAATAGATATTACTCAAAAAGCACCACTTACGCAATGATTGATTAATTGTTAAAGATTTTTTTTTTTTTTTTTTTTTTGTAAATTTGAGATAATTGAAGTCATACTGACTAGACATTAAGATACCATTGAATCTTTATAATTATACTTATCAACTTTCATGATAAGAAATTAAACTATTTTAGATCATACTATATTACTCTAGGTTATATTTGACTGCAATTATAAGATTTACTAATTTTTCAAAATAGAGCAATTGATTTTTGTTACTAGTATTTTGATTAAGTGGTAAAATTGCAATTTATGTAATTCATCTCAAAATAAATAAAAAATTACACGATCAGATCTCTTTCCATCAATAAACATATTGGTACAACCGTACAAGTTTGTATGAGTTGTGATAAAATACTAAAATCGTTGAACATTTAAATCACAAAAAAGTGTACATGTTAGGGGAGCAAAATGCAAAGAACTCGATTTTTCGTAATTGAATACATTACTTAATGTCACATTATAGTCATTTTAACTATGAAGAATTATGTTTCAAAGTTATTTAACTTTATTTTGTATCAATAAAATTACTCAACTTATGACTCTTCCCTTATAAAATCACTCAACTAAATTTGTAATAAAAACTTTATCCATTAATATTTTGAGTATGGAAAATGATACTCCCTTCACATTTTAAATAAGGCAATAAACCTCCTTAAATCAATAGCTAGAAAGAAGTTGAATTATACATATTTTAAAAATAAGTTGGTTCCACTGATACATTAAATAAAAAATAAGTATTTCACAAGCAAATAAGATGACGAGATCTATACATATATTCATAAATAACTAACACAACACAAACAAATGTGTTTGAGTAATCAATAAGCATATGATTTATGCATTAAAATTGTAATTATACAATTATTACATATAATTAAAAAAAATTCATCACGAAACAATACCAATTCACAAAAATATTACTCAAAAAGCACAACATATGCTACAATTGATTGTCAATTTATTCGAATTTAAAATAATTTTTTTATGTATATTTGAAAAATTAAGATGTATTGGAGTTCATGTTTATTGGACATTAAAGACGATGTTGAATATTTTAAAATTTAAAATTATTCTTATTAACATTTATCATTAGAAATTAAACTATTTTGGATCACACTATATTAATATGACTAAATTATAAGTTTTACTAATTTTCCCCAAAAGAACAATTGATTTTCTTGTTAGTGTTTTTAGTTAAGTTCTAAATTTGTGGTCAATGTAATCCATTTCAAAATGGAATTTTTTTTATATGGCCAGATCTCTTTCACCAATATACGTATTATGGTAATAATATGAGTTTATGTGATTTACAATAAAATACTAAACTTGTTGAACGTTTAAATTTCGACATTGTAATCCTCATTGTAAACTTATTATACATAAGTAAGTTTTTTCCATTTTTGAAACAATATTACTTCTAAGAAATCAAATAATAATGGAAGAGGCTTTTCATCGGTGATTAATTTTTTTTCATATTAAAAAATTCTTTTCATTTATTTGCAAAGTTAGATCCAATAAAGTTATATGAACAAGATAAGAAGCACTGGTAGATGTTTAATTTTTAAAATTATAATACTCAATTTATTTTGGAGTTTTTACTAAATCATAATTTTAATATATTTTTTAAATGTAAGTTTGACCCATAAGTTTATACTTTATATATAAAAAAAGGACTCATACTCGACATGAAGAAATTATCCATACAATAATTATTGACTAATATATTTTTAGAAATTATCCATACAATTATTATTGACTAATATTTTTTTTTATACAACTATGACATCTTTAAACTATATTACTTCAAAAAATTCGTACATTAATTGAGTAGTTTTTCACTAAACAATTGGTTGTTTTTTATTTAGGAAAAATCTTTTTGACCAGAATGATATTTTACCTTTTAAAACATTTTTACCCTTTTAACTTTAATACATTTTAACTAAAAAATGGAAAAAAGTTCAGTTTATTTTAAAATAATTTTTTTTTATAGTTTTTAAAATTTTCTGACCAAATTCTGGTCAAATTTTCTGGTCATTTAGCACTTCCATTTATTTATATCTAAACAACTCCCTTTTCATTCATTTGTAAATTCGGGATATAATGGAATTTATATCGACGAAGACTAAAAAAGATGTTATTTAATTTTTTGAATTATACTCCTTGATTTTTGTGATTTATAATTAAATCATGTTAGACTGTGTTGCATCACACTTGACTATAATAAATGATAATCATGTGAAATCTTCAAAGTATAGTTAGTTATTTTGTAGTATTTTGAGTTATGTAATAAATTCATAATTAATGCAATACACCTCAAATAGAAAAAAATTATGCCTTCAATTTTATTTCTTACCAACATCATGCATGCTTATAGTCTGTGTGATATGTGACAAAATTCTAAGACTATATTGGATATTTAATTTTTGAAATTGTACTTCAATTTTGGTGATGATGAATTATTATATCCGACTATAATATACAATTATTCTAAAATATTGAATTAGATGACTTATGAGGTTTATTTAAAATATTATCATAAAATGGAATTGAACTTTGAGGATTAGTGATAAGTCCGCATTCAATGCATTCCACTCAAATGGCAAATAAGTTATTATGTGGTCATATAATTTTTTCATCAAATTTTGTGTGATTTGAACTCTAACTCTCCTCAACATTATTCGGATGAGTAGATGTGCAAAATGGGTGAGTTGTGTTAAATTGAGGCGAATCAAAATGAATTAAAGTTAATAAATAGATGGATTATTAACATACTCAAAAGCTATTTGAATTAAAATTAATTGGGTAAAATGCGGATCATAACCCAATTCGTCTAATTATTACTAAATTTTAGTTGCATTATTTATTTATTTTTATAAATTTCCGAGACTTAATAAAATTATTTTTTCCTTATATAATTATATATAACATATCAAATAAGAAAAGAAGTACTTTTGAAAATAGTTTGACAATATTTTTCTTGAATCATTTTTGGACTATATATTTATGGGTTGGATTAAAATTGATTGGGCTAATAAATGGATAAATTAACCCAAAATTTGACAGAGTAGCCAAGTTATATCTCATGAGCTAATTTTATCACCATTATGTGTGAGAACATTTGATGAATTTTATCACCATGACAAACAATTGTATATTTCTACTAATTTATCACCCAAAACCATAAACATGTAGAAGAAAATATTAATATACCTTAAATATGATCAAAGTTTAATATCAAATAAAAATTCTGGGCAAAATGAAAATAAATGATGAATAATTGAATACAACAATCAAATAAGTTTTCAATTAAACAATTTAAAGTATGTTATTCTATTAAATCGAGTAGCAACGCTAGCTGTAAATTTGACTAAAAAAGTATGACATAAGTGCTATATTGAAGCAATAATATTCTTTTATCTTTTTGCATTTTAAAAAAAAATAATTTGCTCCTTCTTCTTTCTTTCCCAACTCTTTTAATCCCTAAAAAAAAAAATCTCCCGTTAATTTGGATTTCTCGGAGAGAAGATGCACAAACGTCTCAATTGTGAGGTATGAGAGGTTGATTATGGTGGATTTGAGGAAAGATAGAGATAGCCCGAAATAACAATGGGGAGGAGTGATTAGACAAGGAAGACACGACACACTTGCAACTTATCGATGACATGATCTAGATATGAGGGTATGTAGATTGAGATTAGAATAGAAGGTTAATAGATATTGGAGTGTTGTCTAATATTTCGTAGTAGGCACTTCTAGCTTATGGTGGGATAATTGGTTTGCCCCTGCTTCTACTACAATCAAGAACAAAATGATCACTAGTGTTTTATAGAAATAAAACTGAATCTCTAGTCATTAGAAATAGGAAAAATAATTCCAAGCAACCAATAATATTATTATAAGAAACTAAAGCGGATGGTTAACTCATCCATATAACGTTTAAGCACCACATTAGGTGAAGAATCTGGTAAGTATTTTGTGAAGTCATCAAGCAAATCTGGATGATCCTTAAAAAGTATGGCGACCTATACAGAAAAAGAACAAAAAAAGAGTCACAAATCAATAACTAATAATATATATTTGTGTATCCAACTTAAAAATGGTTTATCACCTCATGATAGACTTTATCAATGTTCTTGTGTTCCTTGTACATCTTCAAAATGGCTAAGAAGGATCCATACACACGGTTGTCGCTTTGGAAACGAACCTGCACAAAGTGATAACCGCAAAGACTCATATACAATTATAATTATAATAGTACATATATCTGTATTATTATAAAAGTATATATGAGAATCCGATAGATATGTTGATAAACTAAGAAGCAAGAGAATAACCTTTACTTTCTTCACAAAACTGATAGCTTCTTCAAAATTACTTCCCTGTACTGGAGGAGCCTCAATTTTACACTTCTGCTCTTTGTATTTCTTTGTGGACTTGGTATGCCCTTCATCCCACTTAGTCACTTCACCTACAAAAATTCCAACTGCAAAAGTAGTAACCAGTCAAAATGGAATGTGACATAACAAGTTTACCGTCATGAAATTTCAAGATTTACCATCTCGTTTGTAACACTCTATAAATTCATTAAAACCCTCCATAAGATCGAGATGATTTCCGAGTATACTAGAAACCTGAAATGAGTAGCATGCTTTCAAACCTATTATTATGCTTAAATAACAACAACCAGACCAACTTGTACATCATTTCAAAGACATTAGTACCACAAAATTAAATCCTGTTAAAACAGGATTCAGTACCCTTGTTCCTTCCTTTTGTCGGTCAAAATAGAGAACAACAACAAAATACCTACACCCTGTTTGGATCATTGTTACCCATTGTATTGTATTGTATCGTTACTATACCTACAATGTTTGTTTTGATTGTTACTTAAAATGTATTGTTAAATTCCGTTGTTACGTAACAATGAAAACTCCCATTTTATGGAACAACCAATTTGGTGTGTTTCTATTGTTACTTAATTTTTTTTCCCAATTATATCTTTACATAATATTTCATAGTACTATTTTACCCTTTACCTTATATTATTTAATTCTAGTCAAACCTCCTACCCTAGAATAATTAAGGATATTTTAGTAAATTTATAAATTACAATACAATATGATACCGTCAAACCAAACAATAAAAATGTTATTAAACAACAACAAACAATACAGTCTAGCCAAACATTGTATCTACCATACAATACAATACGATAGAATACAATACATTATGAAACAATGGATAACAATGATCCAAACAGAGTGCTAGTGTTATCCGATAAGTGAGATATGGAGAGGATAGAGTGTACGCAGATCTTACCTTTACTGGGAGGTAGAGAGTTTGTTTTCAAGAGACTCTCAACTCAAGGAAAAAACAAATCAAACAGATCAAAAAAGAAATAACATAAATGAAGAAAAATACTATATAGAAAGTGCGATCACAAGGATTTTTTCCCTCACGATTGGGTTGTTGTTGTTTAGTGTACAACTTGCAACCTTATGCTTAGCACAGCAGAAATTATAAACGAGCAAAAAAGATAGATTAGATGCATGATACACGTACCAAACTTTGTAACTGCTGCCTTGAAACTATATCTCTGCTGTAAAAACGGAGACATTTTAAGAATGTTTGATAATCAGTTGGGCTGTGTAGTCTTTTCTTAACCTTTTCACAGAAAGTGAACCCTTTACCATACCTATCTGACAAGATCAAGCAAATCATATTAAAAACCATACTAACCAAACTCAACAACACTTTGCTCAAAACAAATCCATACACCAAGAACTTAACCAAAGACAGTTGTTTCCTTCGAGGGAGCCTCAACTTCGTCATCGAGTATTATTTCATAGCCCTTGGGCAAGAAAGAATTGAGTCCAAGGAGCAAACTAGGATACCCTTTAAACAATTCTTTCACTCGTGCTATGACACCAACAATATCAATTCTGTGAGGAATATTCGAAGACTTAAGTCTCACGTAATCAATCACCAAAGCATAATAGAAATAAATGAGGATCATGAACTAGGCAAATTGTAGTAGCAAACCTTTGAGCCTTAAAGTCATTCATAACCTCAAGGAACACATTAAGCTTCTCACTTTGGTCCGGAAACATGTCCTTAATTATTTCCTTCAAATAAGTCAATGCATCATTAGTTGTCACATTTGGGTTACTAGCATTGCCACCAACGCTACCGCGGTCACCTCCTCTTTTGCCCGAACCACCTTCACAAAATTGTGATTGACCATACCTAATACATTCGAGAGAGAAAAACCAATGCATCATAATTACCATAGCCATAACTCATAAGTAGCACTAATCAAGGATGCAGACCATCAATAAAGTGGGTGAAATTACGAGATTGCTTGAGTAGATATCTATAGATCATATCACTAAATGGAAAATTAATTGGACTATCTTATCTCTACCTCAAACCCATAAACTATTTCCACAATGTTCCAACTTTAGAGGTTGGGATCGAACCACAAGAATGGGAAAATGGGATCGCCTTCAATTGATTTCACAAATTGAAACACACTAGCAAGACTAGACAAAACTCTTCATCGCGATTGCGGTTGATGGGCCTGCGATTGCGATGTGACGCTAAGTTAGACCCGCGATCGCGGAAGGCAACCAACATGGGCATCACGAGCCGCAAGGAAGTGGGTGAAATTATGAGATTGCTTGAATAGATACATTGTCCCTAGCTTATTTCATTAAATAGGAAATTAATCGAATTATCTTATCTTTATCTCAAACCCATAGACTATTTAGGATGGGAAGATGGGATTGCCTTCAATTGATTTCACAACTTGAAACACACTAGCAAGACCAGACAAAACGACAAGTTGAAACACACTAGCAAGACCAGACAAAACTCTTCCTAGTGATCACGGCTGAGGGGTCCGCAATCGCAGAGGGACACTGAGCTAGACAACAGACATCGCGATCGCAAGCGACACTGAGCTAGGCACCGCGATCGCGGAAGGGCTCCTGTGATCGCGGTCACGAAGGCAACCGACATGGGCATCACGAATGAGGATGAAATTATGAGATTGATACATTATCCTAACTCATATCATTAAATGGGAAAATAATCGGAGTCCCAACTTTAGAGGTATGGAAATATGGAATCGCCCTCAATTGATTTCAAAACTTGAAACACAAGACCCAACAAAACTCTTCCTCCTAATAAGGCAACCAGCATGGGCATCGCGAACGCAACAAGGATACCGATCACGGAAGGATAATAGCTCAAAATTTAATAAAGACATGTGGTATCTCATACGTGACGAAATCTTGATAGGCATTTGTGGCCTTTGTTTAAGTTGAGTATCTAAGCGCATGATCAAACACTTTGTATTCAAATTTTTGAAAAAAAATTATGCAAATATCTATGCAGTTAAGTACATAAAGTAAATTTAATTATTCACATGAGTCTTAATCGGAACATTCTTAAGGTTTTTCGTTAATTCGTATAATAAAGGGAGATGATATATTTTAAATGATTATTGTATCAAGGCAATTTACAACTGAAAATATGGGCAACTTGAGTGAATAGAACTTACAATTCTCTAATTGGCCGCTTTAATTTCTCGTTCGCAGATGCCGATGCAGATACCTGGACTTTCAATCGCGCCATGCTGCAAAAATAGTGTAATATACAACAATATTAAGAATTAATCCATAGAAAAAATCATTAAGGATCCGTTTGATCATTAAAAAAATATTTAGAATACAATCAAACATTACTAAATCTCTATTTATACCTTTCTACTCTCTGTTGGAGAAAAAAATAATGCGTCTATTATTATAATACCTAGTAAGGTGACTCTCACCGTATATAATATTACTGAAGAATCGTAAGCCCCTTTCCTTCTTCGTAGTCCTGCCGGGTTATTGACAATTAGGTCAAACACGGGGGTATTTTAGTCTTTTGTTTTAAAAATATGTTGGCTTGATTCAATTTAGGGAATTTTATATATACATACTTTGTTTGTATATTATATACAAACGGGCAAGTGAAATATACAAATTGCAGCTTTCATAGCAAACAAAATTATTGTTGTGAAGCGCAATTATCGAAACTATAATTTATTTATTTTTGGTAACAAATGTAAAAGATTACCATAACCATCAAAAACAATTACAACCTAAAGAGCACCTATTCTCTGATAACAGAAGTTAGGCCTCCGACAAAACTATAAAACTAATTACATAGAATAAGCTGCCTACAATTCTATGCTTTTTTTGAACTGTATAATAATTTTACCCTCTGTTTAATCTCTTTCTTTATCTGTCGAACTACCTCATTTGTACTTATTTGCTTTCCTTTGAATATCTTTCAATTCCTGGCTCGCCATGTGTGATAGAGGATAGCTCCACCTATAGCTGCCATAATTTCCTTCTTCATTTTCTTCCAGTGTTTCCTCCTGATGCTCTCAAAAGTCTTGATGATTCCTACATTCTTCAGTGTCCATTGAATCATCTCTAGCCATATATTGGAGGTCCATTTGCACTTCTATTTCTCAAACAGATGTACATTGGTCTCCATTGTTTTCTCATCACACAGACAGCAATCAGTGTTATAAAAAGCACGTCACAACCTATCCACTTAAGAAACAATTATATATTGCAATAAAAATGTCATTATAAATTTATTACATATCATCAACATTCTTTATCCCAATTAGTTTAGATTTAACTGCAATCAATTTCAAGAATAAAAAAATTATCAACTCTTTTTGTAATTTTTGAACTTTTCCACGCGTGAGTTTTACGAAATCTAGAGAAGAAGAACATTGATCATAATAATGTTGAAAAAAAGTCAACTTTAAATATACCTCACATATGATAAAAGTTTTGTATCAAGTAAACAATACAGGGCAAAATGAAAACAAATAATGATTATTAAACAAAACAAACTAAGTTTTCAATTAAACAATTTGAGATATATTATTCTACTAATTAAATTCACATAGCATCGCTATGAATTAGACTAAAAAGCACTTCCAATATTTCACTTTTTCAATATTTTGTTGTCATCCAAGTTAGACAACAAATTGGCAATAGACGAATCTACCAAGAATTTAGCGAACTCATCTACGAGATCTGGATGATTCTTGAGAAGTATAGCAACCTATACATATAAAAAATAGTACTTATTAATAAAGAAGAACACGATGATCGTCTATAATATATATTCAATTTTAAAATGTTTATCACCTCACGGTTCACCTCTTCGACGTTCTTACACTCCTTCTTGCACATGGATAGAATATTTATGAAGGATTTGTACTCATAGTCATTTCCTAAACATTTCTACAACAAGTAATAAATTAGCTAGTTAGGACTAAAGGTTTTTTTATATATAAAAAAAGACCTTTTATTACTAAAATCAAAAGATAACATAAATGTTACCTTTATTTTGTTCATTAAACTGATTGCTTGTTCCAAATCTGTTTTCTTCTTGTCTTCATCCGTGAGGATTATTTCATAGCCATTGGGCAAGAAAAGATTAAATCCAAGCAGCAATCTAGGATGACCTTTAAACAATTCTTTTATTTTTGCTATGACACCAACAGTATCAATTCTGTGAGAAATATTAAAGACTTAGTCCCACATAAATTATTGAAGACCATAACAATAGACAAATTGTAGTAACAAACCTTTTTCTCTTAAAGTCGGTCATAACATCAAGAAACATGTTATACTTCTCTGCTTGGTCAGAAAACATGTCCTTAACTTCCTTCAAATAAGAGAGCGCATCATAATACTCTGGCTTACTATTTTTACGACTGTCATCTCGTATTTCGCTCAAACCACTTTCATGAAATTGTGATTGATTATATCTAATTCAAGGAAAAAATTTAAAATCATGAGAATAATAACCATAAGTAACCACTCATATATATTGCTACAAAATCAAGAGTGCAGTCCAATAATGAATAAAATAGATGAAATAATAGAAGATTAGAGCTCAAATTTTAATAAAAAGAGATCATAACTTCATTTGTTATTAAATATTGGTAGACAGAGTTACTACAAATGTAGCGATTGAAGATAGCAAGTGAAATATTTGTATGTGCACAAACTTGTAAGGCTTAATATTTAATTTGTCAGTAAATTTTACTTAGACGTTCAATCTATAGTTTGTTCCAATTGAGCATCTAAACACATGATAAATTTTGAAAAACTTTGTATGCACTCTCAAACGTCTACTATTAGATAGTTAAATTAATAACATAAAATAAATTATCTCATTTCAATATATACATTGATCTCAATTGAAATATGTTTAAGATTTTAAGGTTTATTGATTTCAATGCATATAATTAAATGAGATAATCTATTTTAGGATTTCTTACACAAATATACCAAGCAACTAATTTTTCCAGCTAATATATATAATGTATCTATATTATATATATAATGTATATCCATGTATATATGATGTATAATTATATGTAAGAGACGTATATACATTTATACACATTGTTATACAATATTTATACATTGGTATATAATATCCATGTAATATATCTATATTGTATAAATAATGTAGACCCATGCAAATATAATGTAATACACAAAATCAAATGAAGACAAAAAAAAAGACCACTGATTTTAATATTAATTTAATAAAATAATATATTTTTTTATCGAAATACATATAAAAAAGAGTCACATTTTAAAAGTGGGATAGAGAAAAATAAAAGTGGATACCAAAGTTTGGGTTATTGTCGATATTAATTGATAATTTGGTCATTATATTGTTAGTTAAAACAATAACTGATGATCATTTCCTTTTACTATTTTATGTAGTTGACTTAACTAAATCTTAGTAACTACGTTTGTTGGCTATAAGTGTGGTAAATGGCTATACGCTCAACTCAACTTATTTTAAATTGGTTGGTTATCCAATCATATAAAAGTGAGTCAATCATATTATAAATCGCAATATATGGATATTCCACCAATTGCACTCCCCTTAGAGTATGCAAGGATCTAGGAATCTCTACAAAGTTCACTTATTTCTAAAGATGAAATCTTTATCTTCAGTTTTTCATAACAATTCTTAGTGATAGAAAAAAATTAAGTCGTTAATATGACAAAAAATGACATTTAACGTTTTTATAATCACAAAGTAACGCACACCACACATCATATAGCATCTAGAAATCACCATTCTAACTCACGTTACCAATAATTCAACAAATTTCAAACAATGTATCAGAATAAGTCATGTACATAAAAAAAACACTAGAGACAAAAGTAAACTGAAGACAAAAAACTTACGATCCTCTACGGGATGAACCACATACAACACAAATCAATCGCCTCATGTTGCAAAAATAACAAGAAGATTTACAATAAAAAATAAAAGTTTCAGTTGATCTATCATCAGAAAAATGAATTAAATCAAACTTATTAAGAGTGTGCTTTGTATAAAAAAAATATTTTTTATTTTCTCATGTTTGGTTTACTTTAATGTTTACAAAACTTCGTTTCCTCCAACTTAAGAATAAAATACTTTCTACCCCAACTCAGACTCCCAATCCGAATTTTTACCCTTTGAATTATTTCTTCATACTAAGCACATCCTAAGAGGAGAGAGAAAAAAAAAATTAGTTTTGTAATTTGAAGTACTCATTTCTTTATATAATAAGAAGCAATGGAGATCCATATTATCCATTGAGTTCATCAATTTATATCCTTACCAATTATGATTCAAATTGAATATTTTATTCATTTTCACCTCACTCATTTTCGATCAGTCCATATTCGATTTGGCCCCCTCCACCCAATTCCACCCACCCATCTTGTTTTTCACCTATAGTTTCCTACAATCTTTCATATTATTGGTGAGAGTTCAATTTTCTATTTGTAATCTTCAATTTCTCTTCCCTTATCCCGTCCCCTAATTCATTTTATTGAAAAAAATTATTGATATATGAGGCACAATTTTCTTTTCCAATTGGTTAAGGATTCATCTAGACAAACACAACATATCTAAAGATTAAATATATATCTTCAATTTTTCCTGATAATTCTTTGTGGTAGAATAAAATTTAAGTCCTACTCTAAGTCATTAGATATGGCAGAAAATAACATCTAACATTTTTTAATCACAAGATAATGCATACCACACATCATATAGCAACTAAGAATCACCGATCTACCTCAAATTACCAATAATTCAACAAATATAAGTCATGTACATAGAAAAAACAAACACTAAAGACAGAAATAAACTGAAAACAAAGAGCTTACGATTCTCCACGGGATGAACCACATACATCACCACCCAATCGCCTCATGCTGCAAAAATAACAAGAAGATTTACAATCAAAAAAGAAATGTTTCAGTAGATCTATCATAAAAAAAAAAAAAAAAAAAGGAGTTAAATCAATGGTCTAGAAATATAAAAAATCATCCAACTCATTTTTCTCTACCTTTTCCTTTTCGTCTCTTCGCTTTCCCTCTTTCTAAACTCGAAAGAACTACAACACATACACGTTTAAATAACAAAGGGGGTAGAAAAAAACTTGATTGATATGAAAAAAGGTATAATTTTAAAATGGGCTCAAAATTAGTGATACTGTGCACATTTTTAAGTTCATGAATGAGCCCAATTTTTTATTTGTTATGCTCCAATCTCCTTTACCAACTTTCATTATTTGACATTATATTATTTTAGATTATACTAGAATTATTTTATGCTATATTTAACTATAATTATAAAATTTATTAATATTCCAAAAAAGAACTATTGATTTTTTGTTAGTATTTTTGGTAAAGTTATAAATTTGTGGTCAATGAATCTATCTCCAAATGAAAAAATATTTTTTGTGGTATACGACAAAGTCCTAAGACTATTTTGAAATTATACTTCCATTTTTGTGAAGAGGAATTAGATTATACTCCCTCTGTCCCTAATAATTTGTCTATTTTTTCTTTTTTACTTGTTCATTTTGACAAATAAAAAAAGGACAAATTATCTTTTAGGGATAAAGGTATGAAAAATACCCTAACTTTGGTTCGATTTGCTGTTGCGATACTAAACTTTCATGAGGACCTATTACCTCCCTAGACTATTTAATACCGTATTTTTTACCCCTTGAACTATTTAATAGTGTATTTTAAAGGTATATATGTACCCACGTGGACACATTACTATTTATAATTTTGCATTATTTTTTATGTCCACGTGGGAAAATATATATGTTTAAAATACGGTATTAAATAGTCTAGAGAGGTAATAGGTCCTCATGAAAGTTTAGTATCGCAACAACAAATCTGATCAAAGTTGGAGTATTTATCAGACCCTTATCCCTTTTTTTTACTTATTATATCCTCAATTATTTAATTTTGGAAAAGATAGACCTTTTTGAAAATCTTAAATTTTTTATCCATCTACTTTATAATTAATAGAGGTAAAATGATAAACTTACTATGTCAATCATTATTTTCTTAATAGATGTGTCAATTCAAAAGTAGACAAGTAATTAGGATAGAGGGAATATATAATAATTATTCAAGAATAATGAATTAAATGACGTATGAGATTTATTTAAATGATTTTCGCCAAATCAAATTGAATGGCTGTTAGTAATTTTTTTGGTGATGTGATAAGTTAGCCGTCAATGCAATTCACTTCAAATGACAAAATGATCTAAAGTCTAACTTTGCTCAACATTACTTGGCGAGCAAATGTGTCAAATTGGTGGATTGTGCTGAGTACAATTGGGTCAAAATGTATTATTATTATTATTTATTACAATCAACAAGATATTTTAACTTGATAGGACTAGAATGAGGGTCATAATTCAATTTGCTCAATTTTTATTAAATTTCAATTATTTTATTTATTCTTTTACAAATAAAATATTTTAGAAAATAGTTTTGACAGGATTTCTTATCCAATTTGTATGAGATGAAATGATTTGTATTAAAATAGATTGAGTTATAAAAAACCCGAAAGAGTTGTTCCAAACTTGGACAAGTTATGTCCTAGTTTTGTCACCATACTGGTGAAAATATTTGATTATGTTAGAACTTAGTACCCTTAACATAGGCACAAAATATAAAACAAAGGAAAATAACCTATACCTCATAGTTCACATATAATCAAAACTTAGAGTCTGTTTGACATTACTGCTAAAAATAGGAGTTTGGAGTCAAAAGGACAGTTTTTTTCTTTCAAAAAACAAAAAAGGCATATCAATTTTTTTAAACCAAAAAGGCAAAATCGCTCCTAACGGAGCGATTTTCTTCTGACAAAATTTGACGTCATTCCATTAAAAGAAATAAAAATCAGTGTCTTAGCAGCGATTTTCTAAAAAAAAAAAAAAAAAAACTTCTTCTTTTCTTTAAAATTGTTGCTATAGCAGTGTTTTTATATATATAAAAAAAGTTAAAAGTAAAATCGCTGCTTAAGAGATTTAAAAAAACAACATAAATCACTACCCTGGCAGCGATTTTATGAAACTTTTTTTAAAAAAATCGCTATGACAGCGTTTTAATAAAAAAAATTGAAGTTAAATGTTTAAGAAATTAATTTCTTTTTCAATAGCTACCCTTTCATTGATTTTGATAAAAATTAAAATTGAAAATCGCTGCCTTGGAGTTTTAATTTTTTTTATCAAATCGCTGAAAGGGTAGCGATTTAAAAAAATAAATTAATTTCTTAAACAAAATCGCAACTTCAAAATTTTATTAATTTTTTTATTAAAACACTGCCATTACTATTTTTTTCTTCTTAAAATCGCTTTACTTGTATTTTATTTTTTTTATATATAAAAAAGCTGCTAGCAGCTATTTTAAAGACAAAAAACTTTTTTTTAGAACATCGCTGCCAAGGCAGCGATTTATATTTCATTTAACGGTACGGTGTTAATTTTTGTCAAAAAACGGAGCGATTTTTCCTTTTAGGTTAATTTTTTTTTTTTGATGTGTTGCTTTTGTTTTTTGAAAGAAAAAAATTGCTCTTTTGGCTCTGAACTCCTAAAAACAGCTTATTTTTAGAAGCACTTTTTAAATGGTTTTTTAGAAAAGTGCTTTTGAAAAAAAACAATTCGTGTTTGGCTAATTCATTTGTAAAGTGTTTTTCATAAGCAAAATGTGTTTGACTAATCATTTTTTAAAAAATTCTTTTAAGAATCAAATTACAAAAAAGAACAACTATTAATGTACTTCTAATATTGAAATTATTTTATAGAGAGAAACTATTTTAAATATCTATTATAAAAAGTAAATTAAATTTTATTTTTAAAAATTTACATGTTTAAATTTTCAATCAATATTATACCCTTTTTGGGAGGCTGAAATATTTAATTGTTATTTTTTCCTTATTTTTTCTAATCTTGAAAAAGTATTGTTGTTACCTTTTTTCTAATTCTACTAAATAATACGTAAAATAATATATAATATATAAATATAAAATAAATTATGATTTTTTGTATATAAAATAAAAAATAAAATTCTTAAATAAAATTTAACCAACTTATGAAATATACTAATTAATTAACAAGAAATATATTGGTAAATATGTATATATGAAAAGGATATTTTAGCCTTTAGAAAAATATTTTTTTGTTTCTACTTCTATTTTTTTTAAAAGTAAGAAAAACATTTTTACTGATTTGTTTAACACTTAATTTTTCAATAAAAATATTTTTTTTTCTCAAAATAAGTGTTTCTAGCCTCCAACAGCAATGTCAAACAGGCTCTTAGTATCCTATAAATGGGGGCTAGATGAAAACTAACGACAAATAATTAAATACAATAATCTAAATTCTTAAATAAACAATTTGATAAGTATATTATATTGAAGCAACGATAGCATTCTCGTTTTTAAATATTTTTCATTTCACGCTTTTTTCCCCTCCTTGATTCGTCATATTTACCGCGTATAGAGGATATGACTTTGTTTTCAACAAGTTTTTTATCCCATAGGTTGCAGATATAGAAGCACATATTCAACCTTGAATGATTTTTTTCTTAATTTGCTAAGGGAGGATGATATTATTAAAAAAAACCATATAGTACCAACATTTTACATTGCCAATAAAACTGAATCTCTAGTCATTAGAAACAGAAGAAAAATTCCCAAGAAACCCATCAAGTCGAACTCCTTCACAAGCTTTAGTCATACCAATCACACTATTACAAGGAACTAAAGAGGATGGTTAACTGATCAATACGTTCCCTAAGCTTGAAATCAGCTGAAGAATCTGGCAAGAATTTAGCGAACTCACCAAGCAAATCTGAATGATTCTTGAAAAGTATAGCAACCTACACATAAAAGAAGTAATAAATTAAAACATCTAATATAATTTGTGTATCCAAATTGAAAGATGTTTTTATCACCTTATGGTAGACATCATAGCTCTCCATGTTGTACATCCTCAAAATGTTTAAGAATGATTCATACACATGGTTGTCGTTTCGGAAACGTTCCTGCACAAAGCGACAACCCCAACAAGTAAGTTACCACTCATATTTTATCTCTCTGTCGCGTGAGACTGGACATGTATACCAAATTATATAATCCTGATTTTGTAAAATATAGCATTATGGAGCAAATCGCCCCCACAGATGTTGACTAAAAAGATGTACTTAATCATTTACTTAACAAATAGGACCAAGCACTCCAACTCTTATACTTGATTGAATGGCTTTGTAGGTGAAATAACAATAGTTGAGAGATCTAGCTAACATGATTCTAGAAAAATATTATTACTACTTTTCGCAACTATTGAAGGTATTTTAATTGATATGGACTAATTAATAATCTAATCACTATAATTAAGATTGTTTCAGCGTAATTTATCCTGGAACTCAACTTTAAATTGGAAAATAATGCATATTTTTTATATAATTAGACAAAAATAAATTATTTATGAATTTAGAAGAAAAGAAGGTAGGAGAATAACCTTTACTTTCTCCACAAAACTGGCAGCTTCTTCAAACTTAATTCCCTGTGGACGAGCCTCATTTTCTTGTTTTATTTGATAAGTTGAAGGAGCCTCAGTTTCTTCTTTTACTTGATAAGTTGAAGGAGCCTCAGTTTTACACTTGTTCTCTTCTTCCTTTACTAACTTGGATTCATTCCACTTAGTCATTACACCTACAAGAAATCCAACTGCAAAGCAGTGTAACCTTTCAAATTAGAATCTTACATATATATAGATATGTATTGTGTGTGTGTGACAAAATTCATTAAAGACTTACCAGCTCGTTCATAACGATCTATAAATACATTGAAACGCTCCATAAGACAAGGATGTTTTCCAAGTGTTTGAGCAACCTGAAATGAGTAGTTAAATCTATGATGCTTAAACAACAAACAGACCGACTTGTACATCATCTAAAAGATATTAGTACCACAAATCCTGTGGTCTAGCCTATGATTTGCATGAACATCAACCAAACCATAGATAGCAGAAATTATAAGCAAAGATTACTGTCATATAGGAGCAACAAAGATAAGATTAGATGCATGATGATACACGTACCAAAGATTGTAACTGCTCCCTTGTAATTATTTCTCCGCTGTAATCACTAAGACATTTTAAGAATGTCTGATAATCAGCTGGACTTCCTAGTCTTTCCTTTACCTCTTCACAGAAAGTGAACCCTTTTGTATATGTATCTGCCAAGATCAAACAAATCCTATTAAAAAGCATACTAACCAAACTCAGCAACGCTATGCTAAAAACAGATGCATACATCAAGAACTTAACCAAAAACGGAGTCAAACAGACTGAGCGTTTAGCAACATACTAATAGAATATTAGTCATGACGAATTCTGATGTGTCTTGTTGGAGATTGTTTTTACGAAATTTCAATTGTCATCTTGTTTAGTAATGTAAAGTACTTGTAACAAAATCCTAATGAAAAATTATTCAAGACTTTCTGAGGCTCATTACACCTGCAAGTAATCCAACTGCAAAGCAGGAACCAATCAAAATGGCACAACAGTTTTACCATCATGAAATTTTAACTTACCAACTCGATCATAATGATCCAGAAATTCATTGAAACCCTCCATAAGATCAGGATATTTTCCAAGTATTTCAGCAACCTGAAATTGGTAGCATGCTTCAAATTAATGATGCTTAGATCGACTTGTATATCATTTAAAAGACATTAGAACCACCAAATCCTGTAAAAACAGGATTCAGTACCCCTGTTTCTTCTCCCTTTTGTTGGCCAAAAACCGAACCACAGATAGCAAATATTATAAACAAAGATAAATGTCACTTTGGAACAAAAGGGCTTGATTAATAGCATGATAGACGTACCAAACTTTGTAACTTGTTCCTTGCAATCGTTTCTGTGCTGTAAATATGGAGACATTTTAAGAATTTCATATAATCAGCTGGACTTTGTAGTCTTTCCTTTACCCTTTCACAGAAAATGAACCCTTTGCTACACGAATCTGACAAGATCAAGTAAATCATATTAAAAAGCATACTAACCAAACTCAGCAACTCTATGCTAAAATCAAATGCATAAACCAAGAACTTTACCAAAAAACAAAGAGAGATATACTGAACTAATAGATCATTGTCACCACAAACCATATAGCTAATAGTGGAAGATTCTAATGCAGCACATCAAATACACATATTCAAACAATGCTAACCATGAACTCACATTTCAGGGCATCTTCAAACTCTCCAAAAGAATTCATTTTACCAGGATGCTGCTGCTTGGTTAGATCTACTTCCCTCTTAGTATCTGGCAAGAACCTAGTGAACTCATCTAGCAAATCTGGATGGCCATTGAAAAGTACGGCAACCTACACATATGATGTGACAAATAGTAACAAAAAATTAAAACATAAAGATCATCTATAATATCTATGTATTCCAAAAAAATTTAAAAAAATAATTATTACCTCTCGGTACACCTCATTGATTCCCTTATGCTCTTTCCTATACATGTTCAATATGTCTAGGAAGTATCTGTAGACATGATCATCATTTTGGAAACGTGTCTGCAGGAAATGATAAACCAAATAAATTAGGACTAAAGTGTTTTAAAGAAGAAAAAGGCAGACCTTTATTGTTTAAACTGGAAGGTAGCAGGAATGTAACCTTTATTTTGTTCACAAAGTTGATAGCTTCTCCAAATTCAATTTTAGGCTTATCTTCTTGATTGAGAGTTATTGTATAACCCTCGGGCAAGAAAGTGTTGAACCCAGTGATCAACCTAGGGTGCCCTTTGAACAAGTCTTTCACTCTTGCTATGACAGTAACAGTATCAATTCTGTCAAGAAAATGGAATAAGTCACGGATAAAACAAGAATCATGACACTAGGTAAATAGTAGTAACAAACCTTTGAGCCTTAAAATGTTTCATAATATCAAGAAACATATCATACTTCTCTCTGCCTTGAAACGTGTCCTTAACTTCCTTCAAATAAGACAACGCATCCTCGGTTGTCAGATGTGGGTTACAAGGGCCAAGAAAAGTTAGCCCTCTGCGGCTGCCCAATGCTCCATTTTCAAGAAATGGTGATGGACCATGCCTAATTCATAGAGGAAAAAAATAAATACATATACATCATAATTATACCATAAGTAAGTAGTCATTGCTATGGACAAATGCTACCAAAAATGAGATTATCAAGCCCTATTTTATTTTATTTTTGGCTTTTAACCTAAATTAAAACACTAATTTCTTAATTAGAATTAAAAAGAATTCAACAAATCAAAACAATTGAGACTTACGATTCTCTACGAGAATAATTGATTGGCCGCTTAAATCTCTCCTTACCACCAGATACATCTACTCTCAATCGGACCATGCTGCAAAAATAGTACAGCAACAAAAAGTTGTGCTAGTAAATAAAATCTTTATTAAGAATTAATCAATAAAAAGAATTACCCATTTAACCATAAAAATTATTCAAACAAAGGGAAAAATATTAGAAAGGGCTGAACCCTAGTATTTTTCTCTCTATACCTTCTCTACTTGGAGAAAAAAATGTTGCGTAGATAGTAACGACACTACACATATATATAATATAAAATTCTTGTAATGTATGATGTTGGTCAAACTTTGGGGGTATTTTAGTCTTTCTCTAATATTTTTAGTCATTCACTCAAGTTATGACTATATACTGACTTGATTCAATTTGTTGAATTAAAAATGATTAGAAAGTCAAAGTAGTGTAATTCATATCTTATTAATCATTAATTGTTTTTCTTAAAATATCATATATTTCCTTTTTTCACCATATATATGCAACTCATTTGTAGTTTTACTATTTTTATTGTAAAATATCACTTATTTCTTTTCACCAAAAATGATTAAAAAGTCAAAGTAGTATAATCCATATCTTATTAATCATTAATTGTTTTTTCTTAAAATATCATATATTTCTTTTTTCATCATATATATGCAACTCATTTGTAGTTTTACTATTTTATTGTAAAATATCACTTATTTCTTTTCACCAAAAATGATTAAAAAGTCAAAGTAGTATAATCCATATCTTATTAATCATTAATTGTTTTTCTTAAAATATCATATATTTCTTTTTTTCACCATATATATGCAACTCATTTGTAATTTTACTATTTTTATTATAAAATATCACATATTTCTTTTCACCAAAATGATTTGAAAGTCAAAGTAGTGTAATCCATATCTTATTAATCAATAATTGTTTTTCTTAAAATATCATATAATTCTTTTTTTCACCATATATATGCAACTCATTTGTAGTTTTACTGTTTTTATTGTAAAATATCACTTATTTCTTTTTCACCAAAAAATGATTAGAAAGTCAAAGTAGTGTAATCCATATCATATTAATCATTAATTGTTTTTCTTAAAATATCAAATATTTCTTTTTTTCTCCATATAAATGCAACTCATTTTTTCACCAGAACCCAATGATTTCTATTTCATATTAACTGAATTTTTAAGATTTTTTTTATTGTTCAAAATAATTGAATTATTCAAAGTTTAAGATGAATATTTCGAATTTTTTCTATATTTGCCCTTTCCTTTGACTTGTGCGTTGACTTGATGTAATAGGTTGAATTTCATATAAGTACTTATAACCAAAAAAAATCTATAAAATTAGTAAATGAAATGAATCAGCTTTAACCATCTCCAACCCACCTCTATTTTACTCTCCATTCTCTATATTTGAAGAGTAAAATAGAGAATGGGTACTCCAATCCACCTCCAAATCACTCTCTATTCTTCAAAAAAAATATTATTATTAATTTTCATTATAAAAAATACACAAAATTAAAAATGGTAAGATGAAAAATTTAATTTAATACAAGATAACAATACAATACATAACATAATAATTTAATACAAGATAAAATACAATACATAACATAATAATTAATTCGCGATGAAACAATAATCATGTCGAAAAGATGTTGAACGTGCATTTCAGAGGTTTTGCAATTATTGCAGGACCGTCACGTTTTTTTGAGAAAGGAAGTGCTACATGATATAATGACTACATGTATTATACTGCGCAACGTGATAATTGAGGATGAACGTGATCTTAATGCACCAATTCAAGGTGTCGTAGAGGCTCCAACTCCCACGACAGAAATGATGGTAGATGAAAACCTTCGGTTTGAACAATTTTTAGCTAGACTTAAAAAAATTAAGGACAAAATTGCTCATTTTGAACTTCGTAATGCATTTATGGGAGCAACGTAATAATTTCGAAAATTAAGTGTTTATGTAATTGTATTTCACTTTTATTTGAATTTGTCCATTAATTTATATATTATATAATATTTTCTTGCAATTTATGGTATTTAAAAATTTAGAATAAAATATAATTTTATATTAAATAAAAAATTTGAAAAATAAATTTTTGTATCACATGAGAATTATATAAAGTAATTATTGGAAAAAAGAAACAAATAATTTATATTATGAAATAAGAAAATAAGAATGAAATAGAAATAATAATTTAATATTGAGGAGAGAAAAATTTTATTATTTTTAGAGAATAAACTAGAAAATTGGATTGGAGTTGATTGTCTGGAAAAATAGAGAACTCTATATTTGAAGAGTAAAATATAGTGTAGGGTTGGAGATGCCCTAAGAGGTGAAAATTTGTAAAATTCTAAATGTCCTATATCATTCTTTTCCCAGATTCTCTCGCCTAAAACATAGAAAATTAAAATATTATGAACATAAGCATAAGTAGATTAAATAGAAAGAGTTAATATCTCATATGGTTACTCAACTTTGAATTGTTCATTTAGAAAGTCACTCAACTTTGAGTTGTTCTTTTAGAAAGTCACTCAACTTTGTTTTATAACTCAAAAGTCACTCAACTATTGATATTTCACTTAGTAAGCCACTCAACTATTGATATTTCACTTAGAAAGTCACTCAATCAATTTAAATATT